ATTAATTCACCCCTAAATCCGCAATACCAAACATATTTTTGGAAGTTCAAAAATGCTGTGAACATGTAAGCTTTTAAGAAATTATTTGTCCTGCAACATTTGGCGTCTATTTTGCTCTCTATTTTGTTATTAATGTTTAAATTCTATGCACAGTTTTTAGGGGGGTAAATTTTTTTGAAGTTTAGAATACTTACAGAAACATATATCCTAAGGGCACAGCTCAGTGCATTTTTCAAAAAGCGAACACACCCCTGAGACCAGATCATGAAAAAGAACATTACCAGAACCCAAGAAGCCCCCTAACCACTATCCAACTTCGATTTGTTTAGTTTTGAATTTTATATAAATGGAATCACTCGTCAGTGCTGTTCAGTGCGTGGCTTCAGTTTACTCTGTGTGGTGGTTGAGAGATTCTTCCGTGTTGCAGCCAGTGCGGGAGTCCACTCTGTGAAGTATACCATTGCTTATTTACCCATTCTACTGTTTCCAGCTGGGCTACTGTGTATAGTGCTGTGTGAACGTTCTTGAGCACAGCTTTTTTTCCCCCCTAATTGTATTGAAATACAACAAAGTGCAAAAATCATAGGTACACAGTTCATGATTTTTTTACAGATGGATACACCTGTGTAATAACCACCTGCATCAAGTAGAGAATGTTTCCAGTACCCCAGAAACTTCCATCCTTCCCCTCTTTTTCGCCCCCACTGAAGGTCGCTGAGATTGTGACATCCTTCACCCTAAGCAGTTGGACCTGTTCTTGAGCTTAACATCTGGGGATCATCCAGAGAGGATTCTCGTTGGAGAAGTGTTGAGATTCTTTGTCAGGGCATTGCTGGGAGGGAGAAATACATGGAATGGAGAGAAGCATTTTGGAGACCCTCATGGCAGTAAACAAAAAGTTAAACAAGAAATGAGAAGAGTAGGACAGGCTAGTTAAGACTGCAAACGAGACGGAAGTTAGGAAATAAATTCCCCATATACAAACTATGTTTCTTTATAATGTTTTCATATCTAGAAAGAGTGCGAGCTCTTGGTGCTTTTTTTGTGTGGTCGTCTTTTATGTACCACACCAACATATTTTTGTGAATGAAAGAGAATTAAAAATCATACCACCGAAAAGATCAAACTCCAGCTGCATGTGATTTGAGTACATGCTGTTTTGTTGAAGTCGTTTCAGTTACATAAATGCGTGAGCACGTCTTTGGAGGAGCATCTGCATGCACATCTGTGGGGCTCGTACCCAGGAATGGAATTGCTGGGAATGAGTGTGTGAGCATCAGCCCAGGAGACTGTCAGACGGGGTTTCCAAAGGGGTTGTTCTGCTCAGCAGTCCCAGCAGGAGCGGAGGAAGGCTCCCCCTGCCGCACGTCCTTGGTTCTTGCCCACTTTTAATTCTGCCCAAGTAGCCTGAAAATACGTCCTTTTGTGTCCACATATTTCTTTGGTTGGGTAGTTCATCATTCAAAAGACTCCCTGAAGAAGTGACACAACCAGGAGGAATATTGGGACAGCAGTATCACCACGAAACTATTTTGATGTTTTGCACAGCACAGGGAATGTGCAAAGGAATTTGAAAGATAAGCTGTTTCGACTTGGCAGGTCTCCACGTGTCCCTATTTGGTGGGATGTGAAACACATAGAAGTTGCTAAAGCAGTGGTGTTAAAGGTCTATCTTCCATCAGAAGCAGGAAAAAATGAGAAAATTGAGGAAATCATCTTGCTTAACAAATTCCAAATCTGCCTTTGTACAGTAGACATGCCACAGCTAACGGATGGCATGACATTGCACGCTGCCTGTCTCCCTCCCAGTGTGGCACACGGTCGTGCCACAGCGGGAGTTGGCTCTCTGGTTAAGGGGAAAGGCACTCTCTGAACAGAATGAGTGAGCCTCTCACCTTCTGTCCTCCTGCAGGGAGCGCCCCTCGGTGTCAGAGGAGCCCCCTGGGGCCTGCAGATCAGAGAGAGGCCGGACACAGGCTTTTCTTCCAAAGGAAGTCCCTGACCTTCTCCCCTCCCTGCCTGCTTTGGCACTGGTACTGTGTATTGTAAAATCTTGGTGTATTTTTAGAACCAACGTACTCTATAACATTAATGCTGATGGTTCAACTCTCTGGAACTCTTAAATGGAGCA